TGGACTAGTGTTTATTCATAGGTTAGGATTTCCCGGTGATGCACATATAATACTCCTTTTGGAATAGAACTGATAACCTTTTAAATTCGTAGCATCTACAATAAACTTAGACTACTGAGCTGCACATCAGTGATCTACATTTCCAATTTTAGTCAATTCGTGACATAAAACGAAAATAATCTTTCAGGTTCCATGATACCCACCTCATTCTTAATATGGTTAGTAGTCACTAACTTCAAGTTGAATGATTGGTACAATATTACTTTGTTAGTGTCTTCATTTGCCACATATTTTACATTGTCATGACTTGTATGAAATGACCCAGGAGAGCAATAACTTACAAAAAAATTAGCAGTTGACGGTATCGAAGTAAAGGGTTATACATTTAAGGTGATCAGTGGCCGAGAACGTTCCACAGTGACCTGCTTAGCGAAACTGGTAATGAATTGATTAATGTTACACATTTTTAACTATCTTCACAATTTAATTGCACAAACCCGTGTCTGGCAACATTTAGAAAACTGTGTGAGAACTGAGTTCACGAATTCTGCAAGTTAGTATTATTAAGATATGAAATCTGACAAGAAATAATGTGTATGTTGTTTCATCTAAAAGGGAACAGATATGACTCGAACCAAGAGTCAGAAAGAAAACAATGAGCGCAGAAGAAAATCTTTGAGAAAGATTAATAGGAAGAAGGTAAATAAATTCAACTGAGTGTCACTTGATGCTAACTAATCAATAACTTACTGTATGGACACAATTTACGAATATAGCAAGATTAAATTGATATTACTAACATAAATATCTGCCCCACAAACGCCCTGGTATGGCCGAAGAAGGGAAGAGTCAACTCTCAATCTCCGAATTCTCTCACACGGCCACGCTTATATAAAAACTGTCAGGGAAGTCTAACTCACTGTCTTCTCGTAGAAAGAGTGTTGTTTACAAAACTGTGAGGACGAAAAGCGAATGTCCGAAGTTTTAACTGGGTTGGCGAACAAGGAGAGTCCACCTAGGGGAGTCGGAAAATCCTGATTACAAAACAATGGGAAACATAGGCTCCACGATCCTAAGGAAGCAAATGGCGTAAGAAACAGTCGTTGGTCACCGGCTATCATGTGACTGCATCTTCTAACGTTGCTCCACTGCCTTGTGGATTTGACTTTTAGGTCATAGTCTCGGGGTGTGGCCCCTTAATTAAACCATCTACTCCGGTTTTGCCACCCGGGCAGTATCCTAGTGCTCACGCAAATCGAATGATTTATATGACGCATATGTATTTGGTGCCACTTTGTACCAATGCTCACGTGTTTAAATAAATAAAATAAATGATCTGCGAAACCGCTCCCCCTAAATTTGAGTAAATATATTTTCTGATAAACCTGGAGACTCATTGTGCCCAGTTTTATAACAAATACAAAATCTGTTAACTGTAAAATTGCTTTTTAGAGATACCATTTTATACTCTTTAATCTGCTTTTATTGATACGTTGTCAGTTTACGGAGGACGATCCTAGGTATTGGTTATAATATACTGGAATCGGAACTATTTTGTTAGTAGAGTTTATTTTTAAGCTATAAATAAGTGTGTTTCGGCAGACAATAATAATTGTTGTCATTAGAAAACCTAAAGTCTGTTGACAGACTATATTGATAGTTACATCTAACATATTCATATCCCATTAAAGAATCAAAGTACGTAATTAAGTTACGTGAAAGATGTTTATGTGGTCTACTTCTAGGGAGGAACGTAACGTTGGTTGAGCTGTGAAAATCCAAACTTCCTTTAATGAAATGCAACTTTTATATTGACTACAGGTACACTGCTGATAAGATTCAAATAGCGCAAAATCTAGTTTAAGGGTTTCCTGTCGAGTACTTTCAGCTATCATATTACATCCAGAGTTTGGTTTTACGTGAGATTCACAACCTACAATTAGAAACGTTCCAAATATCTTTAATACTTTTGACAGATATTCAACTTTAAAAACGTTGGTTGATTCTATATGGTCATCAATAATCTAGAATGTGATCAACGATTTTTCTAAATAGGTTCATACTTTCCAAGTAGGAGAAAATTTCACCTATATGCATTGTAATCAAAAATGCTACTGAAAACTATATAAGCTTATTTTCCTCGTTAAAATTTTATTGGAGGTCACTCCAGTCTTAAGAAATCATATAGCTTTGAGGCAGACTACGGAGTGCCATATTTATAAAATATAAATTACATTATGACAAGCTTTGATGAGAAAATGATCAAAAGCTTTCGAATGTGAAAAGGCTTAGTTCCGCGTAATCATTACTATATATCCTGAAATTAAAACTAGGAATTGTAATATAAAGAAATTCATTGTCCATTTTAACTTTACAAAATATGAAATAGCAATGTTACCTATAATTGATAACAAGTAAACAGGATATCTATCATACTGAAACTAATTTATATCTGTGTTGTTGAAGTATTTCATCGAAATCTAATTGTTTTCAATGGTCACTGATGGTAAGTGTAAGTAGGGGTTAATGCAATGACTTCATATTCATTTTCAGGTGAGAGTAAACCCATACAGTACTAATAATCAGGCTTTAAAGAGCGTAGTATCAAGCTATCTTTACGGCAATAACCTTTAAAAGCACAAAAAAATAGTGTATATTCGAGTGTTGTTTTCTTAAAACTGCGCAAAGGTTACTTAATAATTAAATAACTTGACGCGTAACCAACGAGTTGCGGACTCAAACTCCGTCAACTTTATTTTGGACATCCGAATGGTAACACCATCTCTTAAAGACGCAAAAGATGAATGCAAAGCACACTCGATAAATAAACTACAACTAACTTGAAACTAAACCTAAAAGGGCTACAATTTAGAAAAGAGGTGATTCATATAAGAAATCAACAAGATTAAAGTGATCTATGGAAATCAACTTTCAGAAAGCTTATTAACTAAAATATGGTGAAATATGAGTAAGACATTTAACAGATACTTAGTATGGAAATTAGGTTTACCAGGAAGAACCAAATACTCAACTCAATAATTTATTTCACTGTAAGCTAATGTAGTCAACTTGTTACGTCGTATACATGCATGTAGTTGTTGACCAACTTATATCAAATACCGTGCATTTTAGAGATACATCTGTGCACAATGCTAATATTCAACAACTTCAGTGTAGTTAATGAAACCATTTTCATTCTTTTCTTTTCTTTTCTGATCGAATAACTAGAGTAAAACTACCATTCTACTGATGGAAGCTTTTTAATATAAAAAACACAGTACAATTAAAAATAGATCTAAATTAATTGATTCTATTTCAATTAAAATAATTAAAGTCTATGATTTGAGTATTCGTAAATGAACAAAATTCATACTAAGAATGTATTGAAAGTCAATGACCGGAGTTCACATTGAATAATTGAATAAAACAGAATTTTACCAAAATCAATGACGATTTATTTCTGACGATCGTACATCTCCAACATTCAACTTTTTCTCATTGACAAGATTAAAAAATCAGACATGATTTAAGGTTATTTTGATGCAGCTTTAAATCAATGGTTGCATTTGTTGTAGATCTATTTTGTGGTATTAAGGAATGCTCAAATGCAATTATGTCTAATAAATCAGGCCTAGCAATACTAGTATTTTTACAGTTATGAAGTGATAAGTAGAAAGCTGTGCGAAGATATAACAAATAGTCACAACAAATTAATGAAGGACCAGTCAGTTGGCTAGGTCATAACTCAACGTAGATAATAGGTGTCCGTTGGCTGACGTTGTCACACAACATCACCACAGTATGATGAAAGTATCAAAACAAATTCTCGAGTGATAGTAGAATAATAGTAGTAATAGTATAAGTGGTATTAGAACACATCATGTATATAGAAAATAGCATTAGAGAAGAAAGAATGAATTGAAGGGATAAAGTAATTATAGGATAATTCAGAACTGGATATCTAGGGGAAGATGCTGAATACGTGCATCTGCACCAATGAGAAATATCCTAAGCCATGTCACTCAACGTTTCCAACTATCGGTACGATAGTCGTGACACCAATTAGGTGAGCTTCATCTGACAACACGGTTCAGTATAACAGTTAGTGAACTTTACGTATTGATGTCACAGCTTGATTTGGTCGAGCTTACAGATTTCTTCCAGCCTACTACATAAACGAACACCGCCTGTTAAAGTATGAGGCTTTGGGGGGAAAGTAATTCATGTCCGCACCCGAATGCCCTGGTACGGTCGAGAGTGGGGAGATTCAGCTCGCCCTCTCGAAATACTCTCACATGGCCACGCGTATATAGCCTCTGCCAGGGAAGTCCTACTCATTGCCTTCTCGTGGCGGGGGTGCTGTTTACGAAATTGAGAGGGCGGAAAGCGAATGTCTGGCGCTTTAACTGGGTTGACGAACACGGAGAGTCCACCTAGGGGAGTCGGAAAATCCTGATTCCAAAACAATGCTGAACATGGGCTTCAGTGTCATGAAGGAACAAATGGCATATGACTTTATTTATTTATTTTAGCACATAGAAATTGGTACAAGGAGGCACCAAATACATATGCGCCACACAAATCTCACTTGATATGTGTGAGGGCTGTGATACTGCCCAGGAGCCCAAACGGAAGTAGGTGGTTTCCTTAGGGGGTCACACTCCGAGCATTTGACACAAAAATCTAATCCACAAGGTAGTGGACCAACGTTATAAGATGCAGTCTTATGGTAGTCGATGACCAACAATTGGTTCATACGCCATTTGTTCCTTCAAAATACTGGAGCCCATGTGCACCATTGGTTTGGAATCAGGATTTTCCGACTCCCCTAGGTGGACTCTCCGTGTTCGTCAACCCAGTTAAAGCGCCAGACATTCGCTTTCCGCCCTCTCAATTTCGTAAACAGCACCCCCGCCACGAGAAGGCAATGAGTAGGACTTCCCTGGCAGAGGCTATATACGCGTGGCCATGTGAGAGCATTTCGAGGGAGAGCGGACTCTCCCCACTCTCGGCCGTACCAGGGCGTTTGGAGGCAATGGCATATGAATCATTTATTGGTCAACGGCTGCAATGGGACTGCATCTTCTAACGTTGATCCACCACCTTGTGAATTAGATTTTTATGTCAAATGCTCGGGGTAAACCCCCTAAGGAAACCACCTACTTCGGTTTGGGCACCCGGGCAGTATCATAGCCCACACACAAATCAAGTGACTTGTGTGGCGCATACGTATTCTGTGCCCTTTGTACCAATGTTTATGTGTAATACATGTCCAAATCTCTGTAGTAGATGAGGATCCTGTTGGGGCCGATATATCCCCCAAACTCATATTTTGTAATTTTATCATATCGATTAAATGTTTAAATATTTGAATGGCAGTCAGTTGATGAACTTATCGATTAAATTTTTAAATAGCAGACCATTGATGACTCATTGATTATTGTTTAAAAATTTCCTATGACAAAATCGATAGATATTTGTATAAATACGCTTGACTTGTATGCTTGATCTGATCTGCCTGACCTGGCTTGGTATCTGCTGTTGCTTGTAGAATACACTTTCTATCATAAGTCACAATAATAGACACTATCTTTACTATAACTCTTCTGGTATGGAACTTTTCAACTTTTTATCCTTCTGTTGATGTAGTGTAGCTACCTGAACAACATGAATATTTACGCGAGGTATTGTGTTGCTTTAATGGACTGACGAATTTACAGACAGTTACTCATAATGAATTTTTTCAAGATTGATGATGAACTGTTAGTTTTTAAAGCTGTAAAAAGATTTTTTATATTTATTACACTTAAAGAAAAATATAACAGTATCTCGAAATGAAAGGGAGTCCACAAAAACTCGAATTGTAATTGAAAATGATCTTGAGTTAATATACATGTATATGAAGGTAGATAAAGTGTGTGTGTGTATGTGTGAAAAAAATAACCAATTATACTGTACAAATTTGATAGAACAAATAAAAATGCTGATAATAAAACTGGTTTACAATCTTTAGAAGGGAAAAATGTCGAGATTTGAATAAAAGACGAAAATTTCACCGACGTACTTTCGGTTTGCGTTTAGTTTTTTGCTTCCTGTTGAAGCTAACATGTGAAGGAGACCAACGATCATCTGATGAGAATGAGTCGATTGACAAGTCATCATCTTCATCAGTACATTGTGATGAATTAACAAAAGAGGAGTCATTTGATGGTTCTGAAGTGGAAACACAAGACATTTCTGAAGTATATAAAGATTGACTAGAAGAGTTACTATCATCAGATATATTTGAAGGTCGGCGTCGACGAGGTCGCTTACGAATAGGACGTTTTTTATTGGATTGAGTACTGACAGTATTTTTCTTAGATTTAACGTTTTTACTACTACTGCTTGTTGAAGGGAGATTTTCAATTCCTTGTTGATTTTGTTCATTGGATGCTTCAAATGTACTTCTGATACGAGTAGATCGTTCTTGTATTAGGCGTGCTAATGCAGCAGCTTGTTGTTGTTTGATTATATGAGCATTGCGACGACCAGTGATTGTCGAAGAACTTGCTACTGAACAAGGTTTATCTGGGAATTCATCTATAAAACAATAATGACAGAAATACAAAATAGACCTGAAGATTAATAAATAAAATATTTGCAAACAAATAAAATCTTTCATTCATTTTCAGCCGTTTAAGATGAAATAATTGGAATTCAATTAAAATAATAAAACGATCAGACTGTAAACAAATAAATACTACTTATTTAAAGAGTAGAAGAATTCACGAAATAAATGATTATAATTTAGTTACCAACAATACATCAGAGTTATGATGAAGTTGAACATGATATATATAAGAAAATAAATCTGACTATCTAGACATAATATTAAAAGTTGTGACCAGTGTGTAAATTAACCCGACTAACTGAAAGAACAGTTAGCCTGGCAAAACAAAGTCCAAGTTTCAGTTAGTAAAACTGACGATTAGAAAAACAAAAGAAACGCAAAACGAAGCATTAAAACATTAAAATGAGATCATAGACTTGTTTGAGTCAAAGGCTGTCAAGAAATTAAGAAAAATAAAATAATGGGCAAAACCGTTTTATTAGTTGACAACAAAAACTGACTGACGTTGATCAACTACTGTGAACCAGTAAGGACTGGACAGCTGCCTCATCCCATTATGGGACTCGCCACTGGAAGCACGCGTGCACAACAACGTTAGAGATCGTGGCTAAGTTTCTTAGAAAGCCCTTAAGCTTTAGACCATTAACAGCGGCATACATCCTTGCTGACGAGGCCGCAGACTTACACTTCCGCCTCGGAGTCTCATACGACTGTCTAGTGCTTTTCGATCTTTAATGGTTGTCTGACTGAGGCCAGTCTGTGAGGTAAATCATAAAATTTAAAAAATTTTACAACTCCTCTTTATTATTTATTTGAACACATAAATATTGGTACAAAGGGGCACCAAATACATATGCACCATACAATCACAATGAGGTTGTGAAGAGATAGAGAATATGAAATGCGTATAATAATAATAATAATAATAATAATAATAATAATAATAATAAAAAATAATAATAATAATAATAATAATAATAATAATGCGGGATACAATGGACATCTAAGATGCAGTTGGATGATCTAGACTTCGCAGACGATCTGGCCCTTCTATCCCAAACGCAACAGCAGATGCAGGAGAAGACAAACAGTGTGGCAGCAGCCTCAGCAGCAGTAGGTCTCAACATACACAAAGGGAAAAGCAGGATTCTCCGATACAACACAGAATGCACCAATCCAATCACAATTGACGGAGAAGATTTGGAAGATGTAAAAACCTTTACATATTTGGGCAGCATCATTGATGAACAGGGTGGATCTGATGCAGATGTGAAGGCGCGGATCGGCAAAGCAAGAGCAGCATATTTACAACTGAGGAACATCTGGAACTCAAAGCAACTGTCAACCAACATCAAGGTCAGGATTTTCAATACAAATGTCAAGACAGTTCTACTGTATGGGGCAGAAACCTGGAGAACTACAAAAGCCATCATCCAGAAAATACAGGTGTTTATTAACAGTTGTTTACGCAAAATACTTCAGATCCATTGGCCGGACACTATTAGCAACAACGTACTGTGGGAGAGAACAAACCAGATCCCAGAGGAGGAAGAAATCAGGAAGAAGCGCTGGAAGTGGATAGGACACACATTGAGGAAAGCACCCAACTGCGTCACAAGACAAGCCCTCACATGGAATCCTCAAGGCCAAAGGAGAAGAGGAAGACCAAAGAACACATTACGCCGAGAATTGGAGATAGACATGAGAAAAATGAACAAGAATTGGATGGAACTAGAAAAGAAGGCCCAGGACAGAGTGGGTTGGAGAATGCTGGTCAGCGGCCTATGCTCCATTGGGAGTAACAGGCGTAAGTAAGTAAGTAAGTAAATAATAATAATAATAATAATAATAATAATAATAATAATAATAATAATAATAATAATAATAATAATAATAATAATAATAATAATAATAATAATATAATAATAATATAATAATAATAATAATAATAATAATAATAATAATAATAATAATAATAATAATAATAATAATAATAATAATAATAATAATAATAATAATAATAATAATAATAATAATAATAATAATAATAATAATAATAATAATAATAATAATAATAATAATAATAATAATAATAATAATAATAATAATAATAATAATAATAATAATAATAATAATAATAATAATAATAATAATAATAATAATAATAATAATAATAATAATAATAATAATAATAATAATAATAATAATAATAATAATAATAATAATAATAATAATAATAATAATAATAATAATAATAATAATAATAATAATAATAATAATAATAATAATAATAATAATAATAATAATAATAATAATAATAATAATAATAATAATAATAATAATAATAATAATAATAATAATAATATAATAATAATAATAATAATAATAATAATAATAATAATAATAATAATAATAATAATAATAATAATAATAATAATAATAATAATAATAATAATAATAATAATAATAATAATAATAATAATAATAATAATAATAATAATAATAATAATAATAATAATAATAATAATAATAATAATAATAATAATAATAATAATAATAATAATAATAATAATAATAATAATAATAATAATAATAATAATAATAATAATAATAATAATAATAATAATAATAATAATAATAATAATAATAATAATAATAATAATAATAATAATAATAATAATAATAATAATAATAATAATAATAATAATAATAATAATAATGGGAGAAACAGTTCAGTTAGGAAGAATACAACCAGAAAGAATTCCTTCAGTTAAAAAAGTCACATTTACGAAGAAAGTAAAATAAAGTTACAGAAGGATCGCCAACGGCTTTTATTATGAGCCATATTTGATAACGTCTCTAGTCACTGGGTCGCACCATCTCTAGAACACCGACCAGGGAGTCATGAAGGATTAGCAGAAGCCAGTCTTGTACAACTTTGTTTCATACCACGACACCTTGTCATACACTGACCATCCCTCGGCTTTTTCCAACCAGTCCCAGCGTCGGCAAACAATTTAAGACGTCGAACTCTCTGAGACAACATTCGTAGGTGATGTGTGGGCAAGAATGATAATGATTAGTTGTTTGCTTAGTCAGACTAGTAGATAGTCTGACAGGCGTTGCATGAGTTATATATTCTCCTGTCCTTATTATTATTAATGATCGATTGTGCTGAATTGTGTCGGTCTTTGGTGTGAAATATATTTACGTTCTAGTCAGGCTAACCACGTATTTCTGAGGTGAGTTGTGTTAAAGTCCTGTAGAGTAGACACTGGGAGGGAATCTAGTGCAGATATTCGTCGAAGGTAAATTAACGTCTCATTCGTAAAGACAGAGAAAACTTGAGCGTTATAACAGTAGTTCATGTCCAAGCTATTGAACTCGATGTTGCAAGATAGTGACAATAATTGGTACAAGGAGGCACCAGATATATATGCGCCACAATTCCCTACACCCATCAGAGCTGTTTCCAGAATGTCATCGATAACAAAGTTGAAGAGGAATGGTGAGATTGGGCAACCCTGCCTAACCCCACTACTCGAATGGAACAATGGAAAGAGATGGTTGTATGCCCTCACTCTGCCTGAGGTGTTTGTATATAGGGCTTTTAGGATGTTAATAAACTTCTCAGGCACACCCTTCTTCAATAGACAATCCCAGAGAACAGTCCTATCCAACGAATCGAAGGCAGCCCTGATGTCAAGAAACACTACGATTGTTGGCCTTTGATCAGTATGGCGGTGTCCTAACATTTGGCGGAGGGTGAACATATGATCAATACATCCTCGATCAGAACGAAACCCAGCCCGCTCCTCGCGAGTCAATCTTTCTCGGGTTTCGAACAATCTACGAAGTATGACGGAAGCCAATAGTTTGGACTCAATCGGGAGTAGACTCATTCCCCAATAGTTTTTGCAGAAACGGTGTGAACCCTTTTTAAAGGTAGGGACAACTATCGACTCATTTTGTGATGTTGGAACACTCTCTAATTGCCAGACCTTTGTAAACAACTCAGTCAGTTCCTTAACCAGGAAGTCACCATCATCTTTAGAAAGGACTGGAGGTAAGTCGTCTGTGTCTGGTGATATGTAGCGCTTCAAGAGTTGGAGTTCCTTGCGGAATTCTACCTTGCTAGGTGGATCAGTCGTCACAGGCCATAGACGGTAGAACAGTTTGATTGATGTTGCCGATACAACCCCCTACATTAATAAAAACACGGCTGAACAATTTATTATCACAACATGAAAACTCACCTTCAGAATCGGATGTTAGTACCTTTTTAGATGTTTTTGGTCTACTATTAACCTTGTTATTATTAGGTTTAGTTGAGTTTCCTTTCCTCTTAGACCCACCACCATCAAAAGAAAGAGATAATGCCTTGTTATATAACAATCTTTCATTATCTCTTAAGGGGATATGTGAATTTTTCTTAAGCATTGTTTGATTCACTCGATGAGCAGTTACTTCCAATAGTCGTTGATAGAAAGCAGATTTAGAACCAATGATATCATACTGATTGATATTGTTAACGGAACTATTAGAGGTTCTCAACATAGTTTGCACAAGTTCTGGAGGCCAATTACTGTCTGCACGTGAGATCTGTTTAGGATCCATAATCAATTCATTACGTATAGCGTTAAATTCATCTAAATGGGAATTTAAATCATTTTCTTCAGTTGAGCCAGACAAAGAATTGGGAATACTTATAGACTGTAACGGGCTAATCACTACTAACGGACCTTTATTACCAAATCGAATTTCATCTCTTGTGCGAATAAAGTCAGATGAAAGATCCGACTGCTGAATGTCATTTGTCGGAACAGTATGATCAGTAGTAAAAGGGGTCTCCAATATTCTGTTATTTGGTTCACAAAGTGAAGAAGAATCTGAATCATCATTTGTCAGATCGATTTCAAGCGTGAAAGTTCGTGTAGACTGCGTATTACTTGAGCTATGAAGAATCGAAAATGGAAGTGATTTAGATATACGTAAAAACTGGTTTAAAAGTAACTAGTTACATTTGAAGTTATTAAATATATTATATCCACTGATAATTCCGACAAGAAGTTATCATAGTAGTGATATTTTTATAGACAGGAGATATAAAACAGATGTATTGAGACTAGTAGTAGCATCAAAGATTAGTGTTTCTTCCCGCTTGGGACTCGTCAGCCCAATATACCCTCCTCTAACAATAATTAATAATGATAATATTAATACAAAAAATGACTTTCTAACTCCCAAAAATGTATGCTTATATGATGCGGACTTGTTTCTCGAAATGTTATCATTTTCTGTTTTTTAAATGTCTGTTGCCTTAATATGCAATCACTACAGTATAAAATCTATTGCATAACTTATTCAACAGTTTATAGATAAGTACACATTACATAATGCAAGTGAAGCAACTGAAAAGGTGTAAACACCAGTGGAACATAGGAAAGTGTTGACTTACATAGTACTTTTTTCTTTTAAACATGGAAAACCATTATTTATATCATCATTTTGACCGTTATTACAAGTGGTTTTAAGCTTATCAACATTTTGTGGACACTGATTGACACTTTTATCATTACTGCCATTTTGGACATATGTCTCCGTCTCCTTTGTATCATTATTATTAATATCATCATCATCATCACTTAAGATAATTACCTCAGGTTCTGGCTGACAATTGTCATTATTACTATTAGTATTGTTGTGATTATCCTTAGTTACTTGTTCTGTCGTTTCCATATATGTATTGTTTATATCAACAGTGTTTGTTTCGCATTCATTCAATTTATCAGTAGTTACTTTGTCTCCTTCATAAGGTGCTTCAAGATTTTTCAATGTAATAGGAGCCTTTACATTTTCGACATTTTTCTGTTCAATTTTTAATTGATTAGATTCCGTGATGAAAGAACTATTTGGACTAACGTCATTAGGATTATTTAAATACCAATCACCATTTGCATCCAACTGAACAAATTCAACGTCAACGCTACGAGGATTTTTCAAAATACTCATAAAAAATCTGGTGTGGAAAAGAAAACGAAATTACATAAAAATTACTTTTTACATCAATAATATGTACGCTTCAATTTACTGTTTATAAGAGTAAATATTAGGCAATTAGTGCTTCAAGGAATATAAGATTAAAGATACATGAATAGTGAAAAATGAAAATGTTATTAAAATCCATCAATCAGTCGTAAGCGACGTAGAACCTGTCACATATATCCATAAGATCACGTTGTCACACCACATCAACACGGTATGATGAAAGTATCAAAACAAATTCTCGAGTGATAGTAGAATAATAGTAGTAATAGTATAAGTGGTATTAGAACACATCATGTATATAGAAAATAGCATTAGAGAAGAAAGAATGAATTGAAGGGATAAAGTAATTATAGGATAATTCAGAACTGGATATCTAGGGGAAGATGCTGAATACGTGCATCTGCACCAATGAGAAATATCCTAAGCCATGTCACTCAACGTTTCCAACTATCGGTACGATAGTCGTGACACCAATTAGGTGAGCTTCATCTGACAACACGGTTCAGTATAACAGTTAGTGAACTTTACACATTGATGTCACAGCTTGATTTGGTAGAGCTTCTAGACTTCCTACACCGTACATCAAGCTTTGGTGAATGGGCATACGTAATGCATGCCGAAATTTGAGTGTTGTTGTATTCGGTCTCACTCGTTAGGTTTTTCTCATTTCTACCTCGATATTCACTGTCATAAACTGTTTTGGTGGACTTTTCTGATTTTCCTCCGTGAGGAAATGCCACATTTCACATAAATTTTTACAAAATTGCTTTCTAGTCAAGTTGGTCGTTCAGTCGATTAATTAGTAATCGAACTTGTTGTTCTACATCTCTTTATTAATTAAAATTCCAAACTTCTTATAGTCTATTGAGGTACATAGTTACAATTTCCTTCCGTATTTATTTTTTAAAGGACTGGTGATCATTCTGAATGGAGAGTAGTACTAAGGCTAGGTTGGGCGACGACGGATTTCTATGTTCCAAGCAATGTATCCTCCAATGCTGCGTCACATCGAGCCCTTGTCTTGGAGTCATTACCTCGTTGCCTTTCTATTCGTGTCTCCGGTCGACCCGTACCCTTACCTGACCCCATTTTTCATGGTGGTCAGGCTCAACGTCTTGGAAAGCGCCTTCGTTTATCAATTGATATAACAGACAAAGTATGTGCATCTTTTTAATCTGATTATATTATTTTTAGCTCCATCGGTTTTTTGGCAAAACGTTCATTCAATACTGTCATAACCTGTGGCCTTGTGCCCTATTAGTATATAATGTAATGATACGGCCAATTAGAGAACAGTGATTTATCGACAGGCCCAATGACACATAGTCGTGACACCAATTAGGTGAGCTTCATCTGACAACACGGTTCAGTATAACAGTTAATGGACTTTACGCATTGATGTCACAGCTTGGTTTGTTCAAACTTATAGATTTCTTACACCTATTAAACGATAGACATAACAACACTAAAAAAGTCCACTTACTCATCTACTCTTAAGTCACGAAATGGTGCAGAGATACTACAAATAGGGCAAGACCAACGAGGTCTTCGCATATTGATTGTTAAATATGAATGTAAATCAAAACACTGAAGATGTGAACAGTTGAACGATCGTACAGGAAGCTACAATAAAAATATGGAAAGATCAAATAATTTTAACAAATAACATTCTTTTATTTATGTTTAAATAATTTAAAGTGATAGTTGACATGATTATTATATTAGACGATTAACTGTTGTATGGATTACGCTTTTTACGTTGGCATACAAAAAATTTTAGTTTCGAATACTGTTTTATAAAAACACCTTAATGAAAATTTATTAGAATTGTATAATCTAACTATCGGGAGTGATAACTTAGTTGTTAAAACAATGTGGTCAGCTCCAAAGAATCACATGAAGTGTTTGGCTCAAATGAATTACATTATAATTGTAGTATACACAGCAAACACAGCTTAAGATTTTATTTAACGATACTCTTAAATGCAGACAATAACAACGCTGTTGGAATACCTACACTTGACTCACATATTCCATCTTAAAAAATGGCACAGAATTGCCTTTTTGTATTAGTACGTTAAAGGGGAGGGGTTATAGTATGTGAAACCGAATGACACTGAAGAAAAATCAAATCTAGGTACGATACTACATTTGTGTAAAAACTACGGGCAGAGTTCAGTAGTAGACGATTATTAAATCACACAAATACTGATAATAAAGTGCTAAATAACAAATTTAGAAAGGCAAACTAATCACAGGAAAGTAATAACAATGTAAAGGGGGAGAAACTTACATCGATTCTTGTTCGAGTTAGTGGACACAATAAGCACACAGGGATGTAGTCAGCAAGCTCAACGTCACCATCTTCAAAACATAAATCACTATCGTCAGACGATTTTTGAAGCCGAGATTTCAGTTCATGCTAGAATTGAAAAATAACGACAGAATAAGAAATAAGTTGTTTATTAATGATTACTTTTGATCTAAGAGTTGTAGGAATAAATAATATCAACAGATGTCTTTCACAAACCACAGAAGATTAGTATGAAATGCAAAAGTGCTTGGAATCAATCATTTTGTACTTAAAAATCTAGCTTAAAAATAATTCAAGATTACAAAATCAAACCAGCTGTTTCCTTCAAATGAATGACCACTTTTTTCTGACAAGTTATTTTACTGACACAAACCAAACTCATAGAACATAACATCTTACAATAATTATTCACTTAAGGGTGGTACAAAAACACTCGTTTACATAATAAGATTGATTAATATTAGACTTCTCTACCATTCATTTGTAAGAAGTAAACGATGATGTTAAACAATATATGGACGTTGATAGTACTTGATTATCGGCGTCTTTAACACGTTGCTCAGATGGAGTACAAATGCAAACCATGTTAAAGGTTAGGTACAACGTTTAAAAAAGAAATATGATGAGACTATCAAACTGACTTATTTCAAGGTAGTATATATCAAGTCACCATTTGTTTGATGTTCATTGTTGGTTAATGGAGTCTTTAAAATAAAACGTGAAAAACCTAAATTAAAACACAGAATTAGCCTTCGGAATTACAGTTTTGGCAGTATAAGGAACTAGCCTTTTAGGTTAGAACTAGTGGGATTTGATTTTACAACTTTGATAGACTAGGGTTCACTTCGTCAAATAGCAGTTATTTGGATCATTCCTGTTGTTAATAAGTCAGAAGATCAACTATTTCCATCACTAAATTTTACTAGAAATCACAATAGGCGTTGTATTGAACAATTTAAGGTTGAAAACTATCACTTCTGATTAATCAGAAGCTTACTAGTTACTGATTATTGATATAAATAACAATTATCTGACTATATCAACCCGAATATATTTTTTGTTGCCTGTTGCTGCTTTCACTTCAAAAGCATCAAAATACATTTGGACACTAAGATAAATTAAATGTCAAGATCGTTTTCATAACGTTATGCATCGGAACTGTAAAAAAGACTGACAACTAGCAAACTAGTTGAGACAAAAATCATTACTTTTGTATTATCAGCAGGAAGTGAGAATGCCGGTGGCAAACAATTGTCATAAGCTCCGAAAACCCCGTGATCTTCTAAAGTTCCTGAACCATCTGCATTTACTGATAATGATGGAAATTCGATAGGATCTAAGAGTGGTCCATTGATGAAATTTTTGTAGGCCTCTGGATTTTCCAAATTAAAGGTATTTCGAAGATCGGAAACTGAATAAGCTCGATCAAGTGTAACTTGAACTAGAGGCAACCCAATTAGATGACATAACAATGGAGAAACCAGTCCATCAGCAACCAAGTTTAAGAGTCCTACAGATTGATCTTCCAACGGTGCATGCAACCAGGTTAATTCAATATCGACAACTCTGTTTCTAACTGCAGAACCACACTTCATGAGTACCTGATTAAAAAAATTATTGTTCAAGTTGTAACTCGTGAAATCTATGTGGAACAAGTAACACAAATACGTAAATATACTCCGCTTGTTCATCCCCTATCGGGAAATTTATTAACGTGATAAGTAAACGGTAAAAAGTCACTAATCATTAAAATATTTGTGAGATAGATAATGCAACACTACATAGTTGGATATCTACAATAGATTCATTGGAATGTTTACTTCAATTTGTCTAGAAATTAACTAAATTCAATGAAATGAACAAGGCTTCGGTGAAACCAAGTTAAAAACAAAAATTTAGTGAATGTGTTTACCAAACTTGTTGAAAATTGCCTAAGTTGGAAATCATTATGGATGACACTTCATGTCTACAGTGTCTCCATCATGTAATTTTTACTTCGGTGGTTTGTGAAGAATAGTGCAGTCTGGAAATCATTTTCGTCACGAATCAAATGAAACCAATTAAAAAACAAGATCAAGCACTGGGTAAAGGTTGAAAATCGGTTTGTAAAGTAATGAATTTTCATCGTCTGAGGTGGTTTGAATATGTATTACATGGGCCCATACCTTGACACACAGTTGTAAGATTTTTCTTGCATGCATTTGCTTATTTGTGTGTAAAAATCCCTTCATATATAAAATCCATGTGATGGCACTTATTTGTTTCCCTTTATGTGTAACGTTACTCCTACTATTCAGTATTCACGTTTAATATTTTCAATATTATTGATTTGTTTGAGGTGAATATATTGGCTACAGATTCCGAAATTGACCAATGTATATATGTATCATAATCTAATTTACTTACGACTGATTGCTTGAATTGAAGAAACGTTGAAAACCGGGATATGCTAGACAGTTGTTTCATCTTAGATTTCGATTTCCTAGCAGCGTCCCTTTGTATTTCTAACACAGATTGAATCTACGACTTTGAAACTTTAAGGTGAGTGCGTTATCTTGATAACACTCAATTAGAAATTCAAGGGTTTATATTTATAGCTTCTGTTAATCAACGATATTGTGCAAGCATTAGTTAGTTGCACTAATGATATCTATCTAACTAGAGACATGCCTTAACCCCGGCAGTCACGATTTGTTAAGTGAACTTCGGGAATTTGTTATGAAGTTAGTCAATATTGAACATATCATTTTTTACTTAGACGGCTTGTGGATATTTGTTAATTTATTTGATCGAACATTGTTGCATATACGAAACAAGAATATTGACAGGTTATATTTCATATGAATAAGCTGTCAAAACAAGTTAAACTAGATTAACTCGTTTACCAGGTGCTCGAGTATGAGCAACACTATAAGTGTGAGGGTTAATGATACTATCCTATTGCTCAAACCGAATTAGGTGTGTCGGGGTTCGGACCTGCAACTGAGGTTAAAGCATAATTAAACCGTAGTAATATGGCCGCCTTAAGAACGATTCATTTCCGTTATGCGGTAACTAAATAACTGTTTATTAACTTTCACACTGAGTGAGTAGAGAACATTGATTACCATTAATTGCAATACCATTCTCTAATATATCCTGAGATATTTCTTATTTCCAGTCACGTTTTGAGATAGTTTAAAAGATGATAAAAAAAGTAAACAGATCCCACGACATATCTAAGAATATAAAGAAAACTACTGAGGTTTTTGTACAAGCTTAGAATAAACCTAATTAGGCGATTTGGTGGAATGTATTAGATCATTACTATAACGTTTGTCCTCCCATTAAGTTATGTTTAAAACTCCTAGTCTTTAAATAACGATGTAAATAAAAAGGTTCACTGGTTATAATGTATTTGTTATATTCCGATGAGAATAAGGAATGATAACTGTTGGAATTTATTTCTGGACTAATACTATACTATTTTTACTGAATAATTATTAAGTAGCTAAACTATGCATATTCATGTTCCTCCTATTACCAGCTTTATTTTCACTCACAGACTATTATTAGTATACCGTTTACCGTTCTTGAGTTATGCCCAGTCTATTATTTACAATCTCTTACGACCACAGACACTTATGGCTAGATCTTGTACAAACGTTATTTTCTATTTTGTGGTTTGATGTGGTATGTTTGACTGGTGTGTATAAACCCAGTATGTTTGAAATACATAATTCATATCGTGGAGGCTGAGATTGATGTTCTGGACTTAACAGGAAGCAGGGCCGACAGATTCTAGACTATTCGTACTAGTTTTATGTGTCATTGTGCCTGTCGATAAATCACTGTTCTCTAATTGGCCGTATCATTACATTATATACTAATAGGGCACAAGGCCACAGGTTATGACAGTATTGAATGAACGTTTTGCCAAAAAACCGATGGAGCTAAAAATAATATAATCAGATTAAAAAGATGCACATACTTTGTCTGTTATATCAATTGATAAACGAAGGCGCTTTCCAAGACGTTGAGCCTGACCACCATGAAAAATGGGGTCAGGTAAGGGTACGGGTCGACCGGAGACACGAATAGAAAGGCAACGAGGTAATGACTCCAAGACAAGGGCTCGATGTGACGCAGCATTGGAGGATACATTGCTTGGAACATAGAAATCCGTCGTCGCCCAACCTAGCCTTAGTACTACTCTCCATTCAGAATGATCACCAGTCCTTTAAAAAATAAATACGGAAGGAAATTGTAACTATGTACCTCAATAGACTATAAGAAGTTTGGAATTTTAATTAATAAAGAGATGTAGAACAACAAGTTCGATTACTAATTAATCGACTGAACGACCAACTTGACTAGAAAGCAATTTTGTAAAAATTTATGTGAAATGTGGCATTTCCTCACGGAGGAAAATCAGAAAAGTCCACCAAAACAGTTTATGACAGTGAATATCGAGGTAGAAATGAGAAAAACCTAACGAGTGAGACCGAATACAACAACACTCAAATTTCGGCATGCATTACGTATGCCCATTCACCAAAGCTTGATGTACGGTGTAGGAAGTCTAGAAGCTCTACCAAATCAAGCTGTGACATCAATGTGTAAAGTTCACTAACTGTTATACTGAACCGTGTTGTCAGATGAAGCTCACCTAATTGGTGTCACGACTATCGTACCGATAGTTGGAAACGTTGAGTGACATGGCTTAGGATATTTCTCATTGGTGCAGATGCACGTATTCAGCATCTTCCCCTAGATATCCAGTTCTGAATTATCCTATAATTACTTTATCCCTTCAATTCATTCTTTCTTCTCTAATGCTATTTTCTATATACATGATGTGTTCTAATACCACTTATACTATTACTACTATTATTCTACTATCACTCGAGAATTTGTTTTGATACTTTCATCATACTGTGATGATATGATGTGACGTCAGCCAACGGACATGTGTCAGAGCCTAATTTGTGTATGACTGAATTAACTTCTGGAAGTACAAAATGACGGAAGGAGTGATTTACAAATTCGCAAAATAAGATGGTAACTGACATAATGTAGTTGGAGATAGTTATCAGAACCTGGACATAGGTTGAGACTCGTCAGTTAGTCGTATCTGGAATCAGACAGTATCCAGTACCCCAAGTGGGTTTCGGACCAAGATCAGCCACTTTCATAGCATGATAATACGCTAACGATATGTCCAAGCTGAGACTGACCTCCCGTAAGAATGAAATATGTACAACGGTTAATCATTGAGTAGTAGTTCTACGAACTAACCCGTCATTGGTTACTACTCGGTGATCAAAGTAAGCACGGTAACCCGTTTCTTAGCTTTAGTTCCGAGTATTCAAGAGTCATCTTAGTATACGAATGAATAAAAGTAATAACATCCTGGTAGAGTTCGAAAATACCATGCATTCGAATATCAAAAATTTTTACCCGACCACAAAACTTTGTTGATTGTAACGAGTTACTTATAAGTAGTTAAAAACAGAAGACAAAAGTAAACAGACGACTAGTGCGAATAGTCGAAAACAAAAACAAACCACTGACGTGCATGATAGATCTATGAGTAAAAACATTAATATGAAAAGAAAAACAGCAGTTCCCCCCCCCCAAATTAGGTAACATTAAAAGCACAAACAATGCATAAGTGAAAGAGACAGTCACCTATAGACATTTATTATCTGAGCTGATGAAAGAACACTCAGAAAAACCATGGAAGCATTGAGGGAAATTTGCAGAATACTCAACAAACATTACTTTTACAGTTGTATGAAGAGTATATCTAACCTCAGAAAGTTCAACCAATACAGGACTGTAATTAAAATACAGTATGCGCGCAGAGTTATTAAAAAACATCAAAATTGAAATGTCCAAACATCGAAGGATGATGAAAGTTCACAACCTGATGAAACTTATAGCTGAATAAGAAACTGACGTGGATGCCAAGATCTAGTCTCTCCAGAACTAGCTTAAATGAAAAACCTCTGTTTGAAAAAGAATTAATTTAGACAGACTGTCCTCGGGCCGACCTGTCTAATTTCGATCACAAGTGACCTACAAAGGCGACCAATCAGGATGGAAGTTAAAAATCGATAGATTAACTTGTGTACTGACACGCTCACAGTGAGACCTGCAGTCTGAATTAGTGGATCACTTGTTTAATTTAATTCATGTCTGTCTATCTAAACTTTGAATACATAATTTAGTGCGACAGACATACTTGCGAAAACACGAATCAATATTTTAGTACACAGACCAATCTACGAAAATAACTAGAAAAATGAGAACTCGTGTTTAGTTTAACGTAATATTATTTTGCAAATAAACGATAAAAACTACTGTGTTTTATATCAGTGCTTGCATGGAAAATCGGTCCCCCCATTATAGTTTAAGTTTCAGATGGCCATTAGAAATATAATCCCATGAAATTACATGTTCTTTGTTTGGACTATGTGGCACCCGTTACTACCTAAATAATATGACTTCGTAAAACAATTATTATGACAAATAACGTATACCACAAATTCTTCTTAGCATGTCAACGCGCACACTTAGATAATGTATTAAAAAGGAATTCCTTCATTTCAGCACTTTTTCTAAAGAACCTGAATAGTATGATAATGAGGCAGTGAGTCAAATGCAATGGATTTCAAGAAACGAAAATCAAAACTATTGCAAAGCACTATCGGCTAAGATGTATGGAGATGACAAGAAAACAAGTTTATGGATTTATTGTTATGGCGAGACTGCCTTTATTCAATATATGTTTAGTACCATATGGAATTCTCAGCACACAATATTTTAACGAGTTCCTTTTAAAAAACAAAAAACGATAACATACATACACTAAGTTAGTGAACTACCTGGAATTAAATGGAATGTTTCAAGTGCAATAAGAACCTGTACAGCTTATAATTAGACACATTTAAAAATACAAATAGGTCAGCTCTAACAACCTGCTATTCAAAGTATATTCGTTAGATAAAGTACCATATTAATAATGACCTCAAAACATTCACCACATACCCTGCTAACTGCCTTCATCATTCTGCAGAACAGCAAAATCTTTTTTTCAAAAACCCGGCAAAGAATGACAGGTAATATGCAAGAACTTACAAATCGTAAAATTAATGAAGAAAGAATGTAGCCTCTTTATATAATAAATTAAACGGAAAACTCAATATCACTAAAACATGAGAAGACGGAAAGAGATCAAAGGCAAAACTTCCACAAAAACAAATAAGTTTTGATACTGTTTATTACGGAATCGCCAGTAGTATAAACTTTATGGGAATCCTACAAGGTGTTTAAGGACTATTTATATCTCAGTCTAAAATTAGAAGTTTGCCACTTTATTTATTTATTTAAACACAAACATTCGTACAAGAAGGCACCAAATAAATATCCACCACACAAGTCACTTGATTTGTGTATGGGCTGTGATACTGCCCAGATGCCCAGGTCGAAGCAGGTAGTATTCTTAGGGAGTCACACTCTGAGCATTTGACACAAAAATCTAATCCACAAGGTAGTGGAGCAACGTTAGAAGATCCAGTCCCATGGTAGCCGGTGACCAACGATTGGTTCATACGCCATTTGCTCCCTCAGGACACCGGAGCCCATATGCACCATTCGTTTGGAGTTAGGGTCTACCAAATCCCCTAGGTGGATCCTCCATATCCACCAACCCAGTTAAAGCGCCGGACATTCGCCTTACGCCCTCCTAACTTCGTAAATAACACCCCCACCGCGAGAAGGCATTGGGTAAGACTTCCCTGATCGTGGCTGTATACGCGTGGCTATGTGTGAGCATTTAGAGAGGGAGAGCAGACTCTCCCCACTATCGGCCGTACCAGGGCATTTGAGGGAAGTTTGCGATTCAGAAAGATTACGTGTGAAGCTATTAACAACCAACGATCGTTCAATGAGAGACAAAAGCTCATTCATTTCAAGGGGACATAAATAGGTAGACATCGGTGTGTATGCAATGAGATCGTCCATACATTGAACAGAAGTATTTCCTGTCGAAGATGGCAGATCATTTAGGAAAAAAAGGAGACAGAACAGCTCATTGTGGCACGCCTTCATGAGTAAGCGGAGACGTAGAACACTTTCTTCCGAGGACGGTGTACTGCTCTTTTCCAGAAAGGTAAGAACGCATCCAGATGGTTATCAAGTTGTAGGTTTTAATGACAGTAAGCGTGTTATGGTGCAAAATAATAGCAGCATCGAAGATACTTTTTTTGCATTTGTAAGCAAACTGATATGGATCAATATGCTGTTTAAATGCAGGTTGAAGTGGGAGTAGTAGTAGTTTTCCCATTGTTTTGAAAAAAGAAGTTATTGCTATGAGTGTAATTTTCACATTCCTATCACCAGATACTTTCCTCCACCTTTTCAGTATGAAATTAGTTGAGAAGGATTTGTTAAAGATGCCCATGAATGGATGACATAGAGTGCCAGCACACTTCTTAAAAAGGAGGTTTGGGATTTCGTCAGGTCCCAAATATTAGAACGAGTTGATTGACTGGAAACACTATCAGACATCAGTTTCAATGAATATCGAAACACAACTATTCTTTAAACTTGTGGATACAGGAAGCATGACATCAGATAACTGACGTACAAAAGACTTATTTAAGTCATAAACATTCAGCTGGTTATCTTCATCAATATATCTCCCACCTGTAAGCTCTTTAAATAGTTTCCACACATTTGAAGAGTTTTTACAAGGTATGAGTATCTAAGTAAGCATCGGATTCAGATTGGTGGGTGTCATTACCAAGGTCTGACTCGATAATTCCACATAAATTGAGCATTGGGTAGATTTTTATTAATAAAAATAATATATCTGTAATACTGAAATGAGTAGAAAAATCAGGTTTTTAAATTTTCTGACGTTTCGTTTTTCAGTGTAAGCCACTTCTGAAATGGTTTTAGTTGTATGGGATTTGTTCAAGTGGACGGTTTTACTATATAGATTTTTTATGCATTATACAAATGATTATTGGGACAAAATTTGGTTATGAATCTAAGAAAATAAGTTTAAAAAAACATACTTTTTATGCACACTGCAGAAACCAAACTCATCAAGACAGGCCAGAACGAAATATTCAAATAGACGTATCAGTCAATATATGCTGTGGCGATTGATGAAAATAAGTATCTTGTCTGTAACTTCGATGCTTTCGTTTTCTTTAAAATTCGATACGGTTGTGAAATACATAATGTTCAATTTTTCCCCCCTTGTAAAATGTATTTACCATCACCTTTTGAAGAACAGCTTGTCTACACGCTTTTTCTAGATTTCCGCTGCTTAATTGTAGATTAAAATTAATCTCCAACTTAAATTTACGGGAGTTTTTTTAAAGATCGAATGCACAGCTATCAGCTTTTACGTTAAGATTTCACTACACAGTGTCATGAAGACCTGCATCTAACATCTAATTCATCATTATGCAAGAATTTATCTGATTAGTCTAACAATTCAGTGAGTTTCAACCTTATTTGTTGGCGCTTTTATTATATCAGTACATATGAACTTACTTAGGACGTAGTAGCTTGACAACTTGACGCTCCAATTCTAAGGTAAATACATAGGTCATGTAGTCTGTTGTGAAACCTACAGAAGCTGCGGAAGGTGGAAATTGTGGAGCGAAACCTGGATACTTTGTTACTTTAGCATCAGCTATTTCACGCAGAGAACGGACCATATTATCAGTATCCGGTATATTTGGATTGACATTTCCAGGAGCAGTAAACTGAACACGGCGCAGTAGTACTACAGGTCGCAAAAAAGGAGATTCAGAATAAATACCTAAAAGACCAGGTGGAGAAATGATCCAGTTCATTTCATGCAATGCATCTGAATCGGCTTTGCATCGAGGCCAAACAGAAATTCGCTCCTTTCTGAACGACCGTGTACACGCTAAATACAAAGGAAACCAAATGTTACTATATGATTTAGTCATACAACTAAAATGATAAGCATAAATCAGACAGTTACGTGAAAACAAAACAATGTTCCATGAATTCGATATACATTTCAAACATTAGCAAGTATTGTATAATAAATTTAATGTGATCACCATTCACTACTGCTATTTCTAGTTTCTGTCAAGTACATAAAAGATGGAACCAGAACTTAGCAAAAACTCGAAGTAAAGTAATACCATGAACGTCTATGGTAATGATTCTAACTAACAACAAACGCATTAAGGAAAATAATAAATTCACATCAAAGAGAGCTGGTTTAAATAAATAAAAAAGAAATTAAGTCACACTATTTTATTCAGCAATTGTGTCGATATGAAGCCTAAGAAATACGCTTAAGTCAAGTTCGAATTTGTTGGCGAGTGACTGATCTATAAATTTCTTATCTCCCAATCTCCTAGGAAATTTAATTATGTTTATTTTGTAATTAATGTATTGTACATAAACATAATATTTTGTTAAAAGAAAACTTATTCTGGTGGATAGTTGACTTGTTTTTTTAGTGTGATTTTATTTAGTGACTTACGGCAATAATTTGAACTTGTAAACAGTTATTACTCACTTACACCGCATCAATGAGTCTCCTCTGTCGATCAGAATTAGATTCCTTTACTTTAACAAGCTAAATGCCACTCGCTATTATAAAATACTCGAAATCCTTCCATGACATATACCTTCAACGACGGAGTCTTACACGTGAAAATCTGATATTACGGTAAGAAAGACCACATACATGCAAAAGAAACAAATTTTTCGGTACTGAATTTTAATACACGTGCAAGGTATAAAATGAATTCGTGATCTATGACCGCAGAAAATTAGTGATTTTATCAAACGTCAGTAAGCGAATAGCTGAGCTGATTCTGAACTTGCAGTAAGCACAGTAGAATTATCGGGTATTTTGTCTACAAGAGAGGGCTTAAATGAAATTCGATGATAACTTAGAGTGAAAAATATCCTAGAAAAGAAATCGAACATTACAAACCTTCTGCCCATCGAACAAAAGCCGCAGCACCCAGTTTTCGCGTGCGATTGATTGAGTCAGAAACTGAAACAAAATTACTCGACACAAATAATGATTCCACGGATGGATTGGCTGTACGACTGGTAGTCAGTGAATTACAAGTTGTAGTGGCCGTGGTTGTACATGTCGATGTGGAATTGACATTGTTACGTGTGGTACAGTTTGTTGACCTCAATGCAACTGAGTTTACTGTGCTATGCGTGGATCCAGACGAAATAATTCCAGGCGCAGTGATGCGAATATTCGGCTGATAAGATAGTTGCGTAGGTCGAAAACCAGTGAACAGATTCCCATTCGGTCCTGCCACTGTATTAACATAACCTGAGACATTCGGGGGAGCAATGGTAACTTGAGATGGATTTGTTCCACGTAAAAGTGTTTGAAAAATACTGTTAAATGCTGGGTAATTTGCGAAAGCGTTGGCATTTGACTGAACAATGTTACTTGTAGTGACTAAAGGGAAATTTGACATTGAATTACTGACTAGAAAAGCAATTTTAATAAACTAGATTTATTTTACCGGTAGGTTTCTGTAGGACATTACTGCCTCTGGATTGCGCAGTTGATGGATAAGCATTAAATACATTTCTAGGAACGGAAACTAAGGATGATGCTTGTGATATGACCGGTATCGGGAGGGAGTAGTCAGAACGACATAACTCAAAAGGTAAACCAGATCTGATAGTACTATTTGGTAGATTAGGAGTGCTCATTTTCAAACTATAAGAAGCTAAGGAGATTTAAAATAAATAAACAGAAATTAAGAATGGTGAGACAATAATTATGCAGAAAGATTTATATATATATATATATATATATATATATATATATATATATATATATATAATTAAAATTCCCCGATACATTCTATAGCAATTCACTGTTTAACTTTGCGATAGCAACCCTTTAAAGGTACAGGACATAGGTTGATTATTGTTTGACAATAGATATCTTCGTAGCATTGGTGGTGGATGGTGGAACAACAGAGTAATATTGAAATTGGGTTTAATTATTTACGTGAAAACATAAATATTGGGACAAAGGGCACCGAATAAATATCCACCACACAAGTCACTTGATTTGTGTATGGGCTGTGATACTGCCCAGATGCCCAGGTCGAAGCAGGTAGTATTCTTAGGGAGTCACACTCTGAGCATTTGACACAAAAATCTAATCCACAAGGTAGTGGAGCAACGTTAGAAGATCCAGTCCCATGGTAGCCGGTGACCAACGATTGGTTCATACGCCATTTGCTCCCTCAGGACACCGGAGCCCATATGCACCATTCGTTTGGAGTTAGGGTCTACCAAATCCCCTGGATGGATCCTCCATATCCACCAACCCAGTTAAAGCGCCGGACATTCGCTTTACGCCCTCCCAACTTCGTAAATAACACCCCCACCGCGAATGTCCGGCGCTTTAACCGGATCCCAAACCAAATCAATGGTGAGAGCAGTTTTGCTCTATGCTTGCGAAACCTGGCCTCTCCGAGTTGAGGACGTTAGACGACTCTCTGTGTTCGATCATCGTTGTCTCTGAAGGATTGCTGACATTCAGTGGCAACACCATGTCAGTAATGCAGAGGCTCGGCATCGTGTGTTCGGGCACAGAGATGATAAGGCAATCGGTGTCACCATCTTGAAACACCGACTTCGGTGGCATGGACATGTTCTACGAATGTCGTCCCAGAGAATTCCACGTCGTGCATTATTTGCCGACTCTGGGACTGGCTGGAAAAAGCGGAGAGGTGGTTAGTATATGACATGGTGTCGTGGCATGAAAGAAAGCTGCAAAGGACTGGCTTGTGTTGGTCCTTCACGACTCCCTGGTTGGGGTCTGAGAGATGGTGCTACACAGTGGCTAGAGACGTTATCAGATATGGCTCAGAATAGAAGCCAGCGGCGATCCTGCTGTAACCTTCTCTTACTTTCTTCATAAAAAGTGGTTGTGTCTCCCTTAACTGAAAGATTTCTTCTGATTGTACCTTTCCGTTCCCTCATTATTACTATTATTATTAATACACTACTTTACTCCAATCTCTTCGTTATTGTCCTCTTCTTTACGCTCCTTACCTTTTTTTCTTTTTCCTTCTCTTTGAATTCTCATTATTTCGTGTGGCGCATATATATTGGCGCCCTCTTGTACCAATATTTATGTGTTCAAATAAATAAATAATAAATAAACCACCGCGAGAAGGCATTGGGTAGGAATTCTCTGATCGTGGCTGTATACGCGTGGCCATGTGAGAGCATTTCGAAAGGGAGAGCAGACTCTCCCCACTCTCGGCCGTACCGCTTCACTTATCTTGGAAGTCTCATCAGCCCTTGTGGTCTGGTGTGTGACGAAATCTCAGCACGGATACAGAAGGCTCGACTAGCTTTTGCCAACTTCCGTCATTTGTGGCGTAGGCGAGATATCCGTCTATCAACCAAAAGACGTGTTTACTGCGCAGCAGTTCGTCCCGTCCTACTTTATGGCAGTGAAACATGGCCGGTAAGAGTAGAGGATATTCGTAGGTTACTAGTATTCGATCATAGGTGTCTTCGAAACATTGCTCGTATATCATGGGACCATCGATTAAGTAACACAGTTGTTAGAAAACGGGTACTAGGTAAGGATGGCATATCAATTGATGAAGTAGTGAAACTTCACCAGTTGAGATGGCTGGGACACGTGTTACGTATGCCCAACCACCGACTACCTCGACGTGCTATGTTCAGTGGTATAAGAGTAGGTTGGAAGAAAGCTAGAGGCGGCCAAACCAAAACATGGCACAAGTCCATGAAGTCACTGACAAGTGGACTGAGTCATGTTGGTAGGTGTAGACTACATGGTTGGGGACCACGAGATGATAGCAACCGATGGTTAGAGACCCTGAATGACATGGCTCAGAATCGTTTGCAATGGCGCAGGTGCATCCACTATTTATGTTCTCCCAAATTCTAATCTTCTGAATTCTTCATGTCCCTTTTTTCCTCTTTCCAAATTTATTTCACTGGATTATACTCTTTAAATAACACCTCCAAACCCTAATCTTCCCGATTACTGCTTATACTCTTGCTACCTCTACCACTACGGGATTTGAATCGACAACTGCATCTCTGTGCTAATGTGGTGTGGCAACTCGAACTGATGTACGTACGTACGAAGTTCTATGTTGTTACTGACTGACTGACTCGGCCGTACCACGGCATTTAAGCAAGACACTAGGTGATGATAGCAAGGCGGTTGATGAAGTCACTAATCTACATTTACTGAGATGACAGGTATACATGTTACGTATCCTCTCCTGGCACTTAGCTTGACGCTTGATGCTGTCTGCAGCAGGGTAGGATGAAAAAACGAAGGGTGGACAAGTCAAAGTGTGGTGTTAAGCAGTGATTATTGGACTGAGAAGTGTTGGTAGATGCAGGCTCTGCATGGGATCCACGCGATAATTGTGACTATCGATTGGAGATCTTGTGTGGTTTAGCTGAAAACTATTCACAGTAATCCACATCGATATTTTACCTCCCTGTAGGTGTTCGATTTCACTATTGGTTCATATTTTCCGTTAACTGATCATATTCTTTGTTTTTCAAGCAACTTTGACCCACACACGTCCCCAAATACCGTGGTACGGCCAGGAGTAGGGAGAGTCCGCGCTCCCTCTCGAAATGCTCTCACATGGCCACGCGTATATAGCCTCTGTCAGGGAAGTCCTACTCACTACCTTCTCATGGCGGGAGTGTTATTTACGAAATTGAGAGGACGAGGCCGATGCCCCTTCTGACAACCAGAGCGACCATTTATTTAGGTACATGGAATGTTCGTACAATGTGGGACACCGGGAGAGCCTTCCAAATTGCTGCAGAAATGAGGAGATACAACCTAGAGGCGCTTGGGATCAGTGAAACACATTGGACGCAAGTTGGACAACAACGACTAACTTCAGGACAGCTTCTGTTATACTCCGGCCATGAACAAGAAAATGCCCCACATACACAAGGAGTTGCATTGATGCTGTCCAAACAAGCACAAAATGCACTTATAGGATGGGCATCTCATGGACCAAGGATCATCAAAGCCTCCTTCAAAACAAAGAAAGAGGGCATTTCAATGAACATCATACAATGCTATGCGCCTACCAACGATTACAATGAAGACGCTAAAGATCAATCTACGATAGGCTGCAGTCAATCATCGAGAAGTGCCCAACAAAGGACCTGACCATTCTGATGGGAGATTTCAATGCCAAGGTTGGAACGGACAACACTGGATATGAAGACATCATGGGACGACACGGACTGGGAGAAAGGAACGGAAACGGTGAGATTTACAAACCTATGTGTCTTCAATAAACTGGTCATAGGCGGTACCATATTCCCACATAAACGCACACACAACAACATGGACTTCACCGGATCACACCACGCAAAACCAAATCGACCATATCTACATCAACAAAACGTTCAGGAGGACTATAGAGAACGTGAGAACCAAGAGAGGAGCTGATATAGCATCAGATCATCACTTGCTGGTCGCCAAGATGAAGTTGAAACTCAAGAAGCACTGGACAATGGGGCGGACGATATCACAAAAGTTCAATACGGCCTTTCTTCAGGATACTAACAAACTCAACAAATTCAAGATAGACCTCAGCAATAAGTTCCAGGCCTTTCATGATCTACTCAATGGAGAAGGAACTACTGTGGAGAGCAACTGGAAGGGGATCAAAGAGGCAATCACTTCAACATGTCATGAGGTCCTGGGTCACAAGAAGCACCATCACAAAGAATGGATCACTGTTAATACACTGGAGAAGATTCAAGAAAGGAGGAACAAGAAGGCAGCAATCAATACCAGCCGAACAAGAGCAGAGAAAGCCAAGGCACAAGCTGAATACACAGAAGTAAACAAACAAGTGAAGAGGAGCATCAGAACTGACAAACGTAAATATGTGGAAGATTTAGCAACGACGGCGGAAAAGGCTGCAAGAGAAGGGAACATGAGACAACTGTATGACATAACAAGGAAACTCTCTGGAAATCGACGCAAACCAGAACGACCAGTGAAAAGCAAGGAAGGCGAGGTAATCACCAACATTGAAGAGCAACGAAACAGATGGGCAGAACACTTCAAAGAACTCTTGAACCGACCAGCCCCACTGAACCCACCCAACATCGAAGCAGCACCCACAGACCTCCCAATCGATGTTGGCCCACCAACAATTGAAGAGATAAGCATGGGGGGGTACCTAGCCTGTCGTATGCCCTGATGGTGTTCTCGTAACTTTCGGGTTGCCTGATCTGCCAAGGGCGATGGGACAGTGCATGACGCTATTGTTGTGTGCTAGGTTCAAAGAGAATTGTATGCTATATGCATGCAAATCCGCCCCGTTATTGTTCCTATTTGCCCCCGAATGCCCTGGTACGGCCGAGAGTGGGGTGAGTCCGCTCTCCCTCTCGAAATGCTCTCACACGGCCGCGCGCATACAGCCTCTGCCAGGGAAGTCCTACTCATTGCCTTCTCGTGGCGGGGGTGTTGTTTACAAAAATGAGAGGACGAAGAGCGAATGTCCGGCGCTTTAACCGGTTCACAAACCAATGGTGCACATGGGCTCCAGTATCCTGCGGGAACAAATGGCGTATGAACCAATCTTTGGTCACCGGCTACCACGGGATTGCATCTCCTTACGATGCTCCACTGCCTTGTGGGTTAGACCTTGAGGTCAAAGGCTCGGGGAGTGGC